GTCAGAGCCACCCCTTTGTGCTAGGCTTCATCACAGGCTTTGTCTTTTTTGCCCATTTTGCCTTTCCCCCCTTTTCAGATGGATCCCCTTTTTAACCTGCCCCCCCCCCCCCACACACACCCTCACCCCCGGTGCCTTAAAACAGAACCATGTAATAATTAATTATATGTGTTCTGATCCACACTCCTAGAAAGAGGAGTTCCTGGACCCCACAGTCCCAGCCCTAGCCTTGGAGAGACAATGGTGTAACTTCTAAGCTCAAAAGATGGCACCCATGCATCTGGGAACCATATGCGATCTTGGGCTACATAAAGAGTCTCAGTGCCCAGGGCTTGGGAAGTGGGAGTACCAATGGCCTCTATCCAGGGCCAGCTTACCCTACCCCTGAAATGTGGTTAGTTCTGGGCTCCACAGCCTAGGAAAGACTCTGATGATAAACTGGAGAGTGTCCAGACATAAGCAGTTAGGCTAGTGAGGAGTCTTAAATTTATGCCATATGTGGACTGGTTAAAGGAGATGGGGACAGGAAACTTGGAGAAGCCTTAGGGGGATCTGAGAGTGTCATACTATAGGCAAAGGGGAATGGGCTGCCCCAGGCCCCAGTGGGTTCCTTCTTGCCAGCCATCTTTCATCAGGAGCCGAGTTTGATAGGAGATTCTATTTTAGGTGTGGCTTGGGCAAGGCAGTGGTCCTCCTAGTTCTGAGTCTCTGAGGCATGCTCTGGGTGGTGGGGGCTCCTAAGGGTTCCAAAGGACAGCCTTGCTTACCCAAATTCAGGAGTTTGGGGAGTCCTCATTCAGAAAAGAGAAGAGGAATTCTTGGTAGGGCTCACCTCTTGGAGAGAGGTGGGGACCACTTCGGGGGCCTCTAGAGCTGGGAGGAGTAGCAGGGGCCCAAAGCCATGGAATTGGCTAGCAAAATACTGGTCTTTGCCCTCCTGGAGTATTATGCATTATTTAGACAATGCAGGTCCGATGGGCAAGGGGTTGCCTCTGAGTAACTCCGGGTGATTTCTTTCTGGGAGATGTCTAAACCCTTAGAATAGTACTGAAAGGCTGAATCCCTGTGCAGGGGTATGCTGGGAAATGTTTGATTAACATCCAGCTCTCCAAGAAAAAAAAAAAGTACTCACAGCACACTTGAAAACTTAATCTGTGATACTAAGATTTTGTCCATCAATTTGTTAATTAAGTCCAGATGATCAACAAAACAATAAATCAAGTTCTGATTTGTAACGTTTGCCAATTTCTGAGGTGTAAATAATGTTCACACTGAAAATGTGATAATCGCTTGGGTTTGAGCTGGCTAGACCACGCCCCTGTGCCTATGTGGGTTTCTAGGTGAAGCCGGAGGAAGGTGATAATGGAACTCACCAGAATGTTGGAAAGATGCTTTTCTAATGACTTCCAGGGGGGGTCCAAGGCCTCAGGGTGGTACCATTTAGCTGGAGAACTATATTCATCTCTGGAGCAAAAGCAGGATTCACCAGAATGCCAGGGGGTTGCCCCACTAGCCCCTGCAAGTTTGTTTCCCCCTTCCCCCAAGGGGAACCCAAGGAGGTAGAGTAATTCCTATAAGACTGGGCGTGCCTCTGAATCTACCCCATAAGAATGAGAAGGTGGGATGGGGGTGGGGGAGAGGTCGTATTGATTATGTGCCACTCTGGGTCCCTTATGTCCTGGGTCTTTTCTGCGTCTTCTATGGGGTGAAATAAAGGCTGTCCTACACATTGTTAGCTTGAATGGTAAGAGAATCTGGGCGCCCTTTTTACCCACATCTGTGGAGACCTGGGGACAAGTTTTATTCAAGCTACCTTCTGAGATGGGGCAAAGCAAGTGAGAGAGATTTTTTGGAAGCTGTGCCTGAAACTGAATTTAATCTGTCTAAACCCCAGGTTTGGGGCACTGGACCCTGAGTTATATTGACTTGGGGGAACAGTCCAGCTGGAGAACAGTGTGTAGAAAGGGGAGTTTAGATATTATAACAGAGGCAGTTGGGACCCACTAAAGCCTTTTGAGCAGGGGAAGTGGCCTGAGTAGATATGTGCCTTAGGAAGACTGTTGTAGGAGCTGTTGAAGGAGGAGGAGGATGGACGGTGTCCCCTGCCTCTGTGGGGCTTTTCTCCAGGTAGTATTTCCCATCCCAGCTCTGACAATCACTGGCTGTGTAATCTTGGGCAAGTTAGTGGTGTTAGTTACTTAGTAAGTTAGTTAGTGGTGACTCAGACATGTTGAGGGCAGCCTCTGCCACTGGCAGAATTGGGGTTTGGGTTCTCTGTCAACCATCTTTGTCCCGTTCTTCCCAGATTCTGAGGTCTCATCCGTAAGACAAGGGGATTGGATGAGATCAGGGGTCCTTAACCTGGAGTCTGTGAACTTCTTAAAAAATATATTTTCAATAGAATTGGTTTCTTTTGTAATCCTATGCATTTTATTTTATGCACTTAAAAACAAAACATTTTGAGGAATGGTCCATAGGCTTCAACAGACTGCCAGAGGGGTCTGTGACACAAAAAAAGATTAAGAACTCCAAGACTAGATTGTCCCTAAAGTCCCTCCTAGCTCTGTGAACTTGTGGCCTACCCACCCTCAGCCACCATGCTCCAGATTCTTCCTTTCCCCACCCCCCAAGAGTCCTAGCCAGTCTCCCATTCCCACAGGGACCTGCAAGGTCTAGCTAATCTGAGAAATAAATTGATGCTAAGGTTTTGATGGCCAATTTCGTCCCAAAATAGAATGGGGTGCTATGGGAGGTAGTGAATTTCCCCCTCTCTGTGGGTGTTCAAGCAAAAGCTAGAGGCCCACTGATTGGCTGATATGGCAGAGGGATTTGCTTAGGTACAGCCTTTGATGTTCCTGCCAACCCTTCGACTCAGAGTTCTGCCTCGGGTGCCAAATGTCATTTCACCTCTCCTAACCTCAATTTCTTTAGATGTAAAATGACCATGAGAACACGTTCCCTGTCTACTCTATAGGCTTTACTAGGAGGAAAGCACTTTGTAAACCCTAAGACTGCAGAGAAATGGGAACTTTGATAAGGAGTCAATGAATGAATAGTTCTGAGAGAGCCATTTTTTCTCCTGCCAGTCTCTGACTCTGACTCCTTAAAAGGTCAGTCAGAATCCACCCTTGCCCTCCCCACCCCACCCCACCCCCGTATCCCACGTGTTTCAAGGAAGTCAATCACACCTTTTTTTTTTTTGTTTTTTCTAATGCCACGAAAATACGTTTTATTGTTACATTAAACACACACTTTTTAAGGCAGTTAGATAATTAAAATCCAGTGCTTTAAGGCATGATTTCATATAATAAATCCAACTCTAATAGAATTCTTTTAAATAAATTTAAATTTTTATTCTTCTCTCCTGACTTTTACGAAAGAATCACTATCTAGGTTTTAATATGGTGCTGATCTCTCAATCCTGTCCACTGATCATCTCAACTACTCAAAATTCTTGCCATTCAGTGTCCCAGGGACAGCAAAGTGAGTGGCAGAGCTGAGAAAGGAGGTCAGAGTGGGGATACCAGCAGCTAAGAAAGCCATTAGGAAACACTGAGATTAGCACCCCACATCCTCACAGCCCGGAGAGAGGCTGGAGTCCAAAGTGGTATGGACTAGGGGCCAGGTTTCTGAAGGACCGCCATTCTTCCTCGCATGCTTCCCTTGGGTGATTCTGCCAGCTGGAAGGGTGACACCTCCCACCACCAAGTTTTTGTGGCACTCTGGTCCTGAGTCTCTCATGCTCTTCCATGGTGTCAGATGGATCCCCGGCTCCTTCTCTTACTGGCTGGTCGGCTTCATTGGGACAATCATCTCGGTTTTGTTTCCTTTGTCTTCTTTGTACCCTCCTCAGACTCAGGTGGAGGAGGCATTTGGAGATAGGGTTCATTTGAATTGACTCCAATGTGGGTGGTTCCTATAGAATTGTGATTAATCCTTAATTATTAAAGTGCCATCTTCCTTTGGGAAAATCCACAGGAGTAGAGAGAAGATAGGAGTGAATTTGCACATTTGTCCTGGTGAGAGCCATTGGATGAAGGAGGAGGGTGTGGATTTGGGGTTGTGGCCCTAAGTGAGACTGAATCCTGGCCAACTCTATGAGAAGAGACATGATCCCAGTGCCATAGCTAGAGGGGAGAGTCTCTAAGCAATTGAGATGGCCTTGATTTTCTCTGAAAAAAGAAAGCAACCGTACAGAGCTACATAACCACAAAGAGAAATAAACAGGTCTGATGAGTGTTCATGGTGGTTGTTCATCAGAATGCTGGTTGAGTGAAAGAAATGAATTTAACCACTAAGAAAACTTTTTTTTAAAAAAATCTAACTAGAAAAACAGTGGGCCACAACTAGATTTTTTTTTCCCAGTGTGAGTCTGAGTTGAAGATTTGCTCAAAAGAGAGAGATTAGAATTCATCACATAGGCATTCTAGTAATAAATAAAGGAAAGATCTGTCCTTTCCACATTAATACTTCTTAAGCAATAAATAATAGATAAATAGATGTGTGTGAGAATCTGTTCCTTAAATACTTCCTAAGCAATAAATAATAATAGGTATGTCTATTTTGTGAAGAAAGGAGATTATGCTCCAATTTTTTGGCTGATTGCCTTGAGCTGGGACTATGAAAAGTGCCAGTTGGGCAGCTCTCAGGCTGAATCCCAAGTACAGATCTGTATCTGAGCCCTGCCTATAATGCTGCTGTCCAACCTACTTCCCCTGCAGCACCTAATATGCTCAGCCTCCATTTGAAAAATCACTTCGTTTCTGTGAACTAAACTTCCCTGGTTTTCTTTCTACCCCTCTGACCACTCCTAGTGCGAATTGGTCAGCCCGTCCAAGTCATCAGACAGACGGGTTTTCTGCCTGAGAGCTCATCAGTTACCCCCAAAGTGTCCTTCTACTCCTGCCCCCTTCCCTCCATCTCTTAGCCCCTTCTACCTCCGCCCTATTCCCCTCCAAACAAGGCCACTGACAGCAATCTTTTTTTTTTCCTTTGTCCATTTTATTCCACATGCCTCAGTAGTGTTTTTTACCATTTTGTTGAGTGTGTGGTAAAAGTCCGGACATGGACGAGATGGATGAGAATAGGCTCTGTTTGTCTCTCTTAATACCTTCCCATGGCAGAAGCTGAGAAGGGATACTTCCAACGTGGACTGGCCACTACCCAGTGGAGCATCCCTGAAATTAGGCTTCTACTCCAAACCTCTTTCTGAAATTTGATGATCTCATTTGTTCTATTTTTATGCCCGGTCTGGGAAAGAGAAGATGGACGGGGCCCTTTGTGGTTGCAAGATTCAATTATGAATGTATATAGCAGACTCTGCTTGGGATTGTCCTCTACCTTAACTTTCCCAGAAAACCGAGGCTCTCCCCAACCCTGAAAGCCAGCACTTGCTCAGATCAGAGATTCTCTAGATAGAACATTGCTCCACCTGTGGGGAAATGAACACTTGTGACATTTGGAGAACAGCAGCAGGAGGAAGGAGCAGCAGTGTACTATCTGCCCTTGGGAATGTTGCCTGATGGCCTGGGCTCAGGGGAAGTGTTCCAGACCCCTCAGGACACTGTTCAACTGACTGCCTGGTACTAAGAATTAAGTCAGAGGTGAGCTTCCCAATTGAATTCAGTAGACATCAGAGTAACATTTTGCAGCTGAAATTTAGGAAAGATGCCATTCATTTAAAGTACTGGATTATCTCACCGGCTTCCGTGACTGCCATTTGAAGCACAGGTGGGCCTGCTTAAATATGTGTAAATTCACGCTCACAAAACAGATTACTATGCTGTCATATTCATGCGACCAAAAGATACTTCATTTACAGAAGGCTTCACCACAAGCTTCTCTTATGAGCTCCCCCAAGTACATCAGTTGGTTATCTAGACAGATAACTAGCCACTTAAAGAGACTGGGGGAGCGAGGATAATAAGAGAGAAAGAGAAAAATTGTGTGGGGAGCCATTGACAAATGAAGATCAATTGGAAAGAAAGCTGAAGTAGCTTGGAAATCAGAATGGCAAACACTGGGGAACTTGAGTTCCCTAAATTTGTATTACGTATTTTTAAAGATATGCTACTATTACGCAAAGTATAAGGTACATTTGCACAATGAGCTAAACACACTCACTAATTTGTACTTCTAAGCCTGCTGGTGTGATGTGTGTAGTGTGAAGGTTTATGTCAAGTATATGTGTGCATGCATGTGCATATGGGGGTGCATGTGTGCAGACTGTGTGTTGGAGCAGGGAGAAGTACGGTGCGTCAAGCAGTTTAAGCGTATAGTATGCGGAGCAGACTTAGGACTGGGACCTGTCACTTAGCCATCACTAAGGACATTCGGTGAGACTTTGTCTTCACAGGTAGGTGTCACCTTGAATGCGCCTGGCCCCAGCATAAGTCGGCTTGCGTCTCATCCTCATCTCACGGATTTGTTCCTGCAGGTCAACAACGAAGTAGTAGGCCGTGTCCTTAGTGTTGCGGACGATGCGCTGGTACTCCTTGCGGAAGTTCTGGTTGAGAGTTCCGTAGACCATGGCGTTGACGCAGCTGTTGAAGTAGGCCAAGTAGTAGCTCCCAATGTATACCCACTCTGGGACGCGTGGTCCAATCCCCAAAGGATCGAAGACCCGGGCAAGCTTCAAGAAATTCAGTGGGCCCCAGCACAGAGCGAACAGGACAAAGACCAGAAACATCGTCATGAAGTTGCGGACATCAACCAGCATGAACTTCGGCTTGGTGACCTTGACCCGATGATTGACTTGAATGACCAAGATCCAGATCCTTAGGTAACAGAATGCCACCACCGTCAGGGGGATGAGGAAGTGGAGCGCCATCACTCCAACGGCATAGAAGGCAGTAGAAGTGTGGACAAAGCTGCAAGTGTAGACGGTGGGATTGTACTGCACGGTGGCCACAAAGTAGTTGGGGATGAGAGCCAACATGGTCATCAGCCAGGTTACGATAAGGATGAGGATGGTATTCCTTCCAGTGAAGATCTTCTCATACAAGAGGCTATGGCAGATGTAGCAGTAGCGGTTGAGAGCTATCACCATGATGTTAAAGACGGAGCTAACAGCGCTAATGCTTGTAAGGAGGCCGCTCAGTTGACAGTGGAGTTTTCCCATGGTCCAGCCATTGTTCAAGATGGCAATCAAGGTCATAGGGTAAGGATACACAGCAACAAGCATGTCGGCCACAGATAAACTGATTACAAAGACGTTCCCTGAAAAAGAAGGGTAGGAAAAAAAGAAACAAAGAAGGAAAAAAAGAGAATAAGGAAGAAAAAGGATCAACTGCAGAACATTCAAATCTCATTGAGTTAGTCTAATTAACAGAAAAGGTCAGTTGGAATTAGACAAGACCTGAAGGATACTGAGAGAAAAAATTGAAAGCAATGAAATTCAGAGTGGACAGGACTATGAAGAAACAGAGACACTTGTTCATAGCTAATGGAATTGCAAACGAGAGCAAATCTGGCAGCATATAGTACTAGACCCCTCAAAATCCATACTCTGGTGCCCAACCCTCCAGTGATGAGCTTCTGTCTCCATATTTAGTTAGGCTGGTCCTCAGAGAACAGATACCCAGTCCCAAGCAGGAGCAGATCCAATCCTCAAAGCTTTTCCACTTTGGTGGACTTGCCAGCATTTAGGCTCTGTGGGCCTGGTATACATTGTCACATATCCTGTACATCTCACTGTCTCCCACCACTTCCCCTCTCCCAATGTGAGGTGGACAAGCATTGCACTTTCCATAGATGATGGGGCTATGGGCCCTATTTAGACCTATTTAGAACTGTGCTCCAAAAAAAAAAAAAAATGCAAAAGGTTCCAACTTTTTGAGGTCAAATTATGTCCCCGTTTTCAGAAAGCTGAAGGTGGAGTGCTCTGAGCAGCTTGAGGGAAATGAGCCCTTGAGGAGAGGGAGGGCTAAGGAGAACGAAGGGTGCTAAAGACAAAACTTGTCCCTTCCCAAGGCCCTGGTAACATGACTCCATTTCCATCCCAGACATCCCACAGTTCAAAATTTTCCCCATTGCAAATAGAGATTAACTCTGCCCAGCTTTAAATAAGTAAGGTCTCCTTTGAAAATCAAGAATGCTCCCTGCCACAGGGCTGGACTCCAGATCCAGAGCCAGGCAGCTTAATGAAATTCACAACCATGCAGTCTGAAGGATTGCGCTCTTCTCTGGACTATCATTAAGACGATGACAAAAATATAACTCGAGATAAATGACTGCAAAAGAGAGCATTAGGGATGCCATTTTCTTAAAAAGCTTTTTTTTATGGGATCAGATATAAATGGGGCGGAAGTATAGGAAAGAGGAGAAGGCTATGGTAAAATAGCTTATAGGCTATGGCACCCCTAAGCTACTTCCTTGGATAAAGGTAGGCATTTAAAGAAGTCTATTAACTCTTTCAGGTTACTAGGGGTCTTTGCTGCTCTTACTAAGGTTGCTTGGAGCCAGAGACAGCAGGCCAAGAACACATACAAGTGTGTTCCTCACAGTGCTGTCCTCATTTCCCAAGATATCAGCCTTCCCTCCATTTCCGTGTGCTTAAATATGGTTATCTTCCCTTAGCTTGAGAGGAGGAGCATTTGAGAGGAAAGTGACAAAGCAATTTTCCTTTGTTCAGACGTCAGAATTGTGGCTGGGGCCCCCAATCCTTTTGCCCAGATGGGCAATTAAGTCCATTAACAAGGTCATAGTTAGACAACACACCAAAGTTGACTCGGAGGCAGTGACATAGCTTTCCTTTTGACCTTCCCTAGCCTGGAGCAATGCCTGCAAGGTTAGCATAACCAGTTAAGTGAAGCTCTCATTCCAATAAGACAATTTGCTTTTGGCACATCCACTGAAGCAGTGCAGCCTAACTAATGATGGCATGATTAAAGATCGGTTGATGTTGGTAATCGATCAAGGGCCACTGCTCGATCTTTTGCATATTACTCTTTTCTGTGATTGGAAATAAATTCCCAGCACCCAGACTGCCACCAGAGCTCTGTTGTATAAATCAAGGTCACTAACTCTTGTTCTAAGAGTCACTCTTCTGAAGAGGATTTTAATCTACAGCAGGAGAGCAAAGTGCTTTAAGACTGATTTGGAAAAATTTGTAATTTGTCAGTAGTTTGCCCGCTTGTTTTGATGCCCTCATCAGCCTGAGTAGAAGCAGCAGTTATTTGATTACATGTGCTGGGCTTCGGGGTTTGAAAAGGTGACATTTGATTTAGAAACACTCAGTCAGTCTTGATGCTCCGAATTTCTTACTATAGTCTTTTGACTTCTACAAGGGCCTCTTTCCATTTTCCAGGAAACATCATAAGCAGAGACCTTGATTCTTTCTCAATATTAAATTGCCTAGGCTACAGATACATAGATTCATAGGATGTCAGAGCTGGTTGGGACTTTAGGGATCAACTAGTCCAACCCCTGAATTTTACGGAAAGGGGAACTGAGGCTCAGGAAGGCCAATTTGCCCAACAGGTAATCGAGGAGTGACAGAGGTGGCATCTGGCCATTCTTTTCTAGTTTGGGGCACAAGAAGAGAGCAATGGTTCTATGGATTAAAGGGAGATGGAGGCCAAAAAGAAAATATAAAATGCTATGGAGATACTGTGAAAATGAATAAATAGTTTTTCAGGGGGAAAAGAGGACAGAGCACTTTAGCATGGAAGTACGAGGGGAGAAAACTTGTGAAATGTAGTCCCAGAAAAAAAAATTAATTTAGTCGGAGACAAAAGAAATATTATTTAGCACAAAAAAATATCAGGACTTTGCTCCTGGAAGCCATTAATATTAACATCTAGTTTGTCATTTGTCTGTGAACAGAGTCCAGTCTAGTGGAGCACACTCCAGATTATCTGTTGACTAAGTCTTGATGGATTTATAGCAGCCTATTTTGATTTTGGAGCCTGCTCAGTCTTCCACATTCAGCTAAACCCTCCCAGCTTTGGCCATGGCGCTTGCCTTGGCTTGACTCTGAGCACTCTGGCTACATGATCCCAATGAATACCTCGGGGGGCTGCAAGCAAACTTGTCTTAGCATGGCCCAAGCTCCTCAGGTAAGCTGGCACTTATAAAAAACAAAACCATTTCAAAGAATATAAAGACAAGGGCACTAATTTTATCCAGGAAAAAAATGGTTTTTGTTTTTTCTGGAAAAATCTTCTTGCTAACCAGGGCTTAACCTATGAAGTGTTATTTTATCCTTGAGAAAAAAGAAAATAGCAAAATTTTAAAATAGGTTTTAAAAGGGACTGTAGTTGGGGGCAGAGAGTCCAGGAGAACCCAGAAAGTGGTCTTCTTTGGGACTAGAGCCATAGGACAGAGGAATTTGAGAAGGTGCCTAGTCTGAAACATCCCCCCCCCCCTTCATTTTATGGAGAAAATAAGGGCCAAAGCTGGTTTTACAAAAGAGGAAAGTGAGACCCAGGGAAGCGATGGGTCTTATCCAAGGTAACTGGTGGCAGATTCAGGATTAGAACCCATGATTCTAAACTTGCATCATGGTCATTTTTTCTACCATATCACATTCCATGTCACTCACACACACACTCTCACTCTCCTTCTCCCTCTCTCTCTCTCTCTCTCTCTCTCACTCTCTCACTCACTCTCACTCTCCTATTGCAATGGGGGATGAGGATGATAAAGTGGAAAGTAACTATTTCAAAGCTGATAAAGCCTGGTTTTCTTTCTTTGAAGAATGTTATTGATTGGGCCAAGAAATAACATAGAACCCTGGCAATTGAGAAGGGAATTCTGGCTCTGATTTTGCCACCTAGGGGCTGTGGGACCTTGAGCAAATTGCTTTCCCTCTCTGGGTTTCAGTTTGATCCTCTGCAAAATGATGGGGGGGGGGGATGGACTGACTGATCTCAAGGTGCTGGAAGCCTGGGAAAGGCAGACTGTTGGCATCCCAGGGTGTGGAAGCCTTTTTCCCATTACCTTCCTTAATAGAAAAACAAAGCCTAGGCAGAGCAGCCTTAGTAGCTAAACAAGAACTGGTTCCAGCAGGAAAGAGGATTGCACCTCGGGACCGGCAGAGATTGTGGCCCCCAGATCCCTAGATGCCCCTTGCTAGAAGAAAGGAAGACTGGCTGCCTCGATCCTCCCCAGTCATGTATCTGAGGGACCTCATGATAACTTCCTGTACTTCCCAGTTATGTCTCCCCCCACCCCCCAAAAAAGGGACCCATAAAAGCTCAGGAAAAATAATACCCATTTGTTTTGCATGAATTTACATAAACTGTATAACATTTATGCCTAATTACAACTTAGTAACAAGTAGGCAGATCATTAAGTAAGTATATTAATTTTGCTGTATGTTTTTCTTCATTCAGACCCTTACTAAGCACTTGGGCTGGGCTATGGGAGACACAAACCTGAACGGGTCCCAGTCCCTGCCCTGAAGAAGCTCCCAGTCTGGGGGCGGGGGGTGTAGGATAGACAGCAACATGGGCTTAGAAAGAGCAGACCCAGGTTTTAGCCCCAGCTCTACCACTAACTAGCTGTTCCCAGCAAGTCCCTTCCCCCTCTCTGGGCCTCATCTGCTTCTCCCATCTGCAAAATAGGGGGGAGGGGGGCTGTGGGGGCGGCAGGCAGGGCGGGAAGGTTGGATTAGGTGATGTCTCTTCCAGCTCTGACATTCTTTGAATTGACACGTACACAAATAACCAGAAGGTGTATTTAATTACAAACATTCTCTACTTTGTCCTGGACTTTCAGGCTTCATAATTTGTGACTTGCCCCTAGTGTGGCTGTTAGTTCACAGCTAAAAGAAATTCCAGGGGAAAAAGCTATGACCGTTTAATGGGGTAACTTCTAGTGTCCGGAGACATTTCTGAAAATATTCCTGTAAGATGGAGTTTGCTCATTTAAAAACCTTTGTTCAAGGGGGGGGGGGCTGGGTAGCAATAACTCTGTTTGCTGGAATGGGGGGGAGGGGGGCAGGTAACACTGAGCTCTACATTTGAAAATCAGTTTGAAAAAAAACAGTGGAAGTGTCGTGGATGAGGAGCCGTGTGGCTTGATCTAACATCTCCAACATTTCCATTTTCTCATAGTTTAAAAAAAAATGTCCATTTGATGAGATTAGTGAAAAGGAAAAATAAGGAAAGATAATGAGGGTAAACAAAAGAGTACGTAAAGACTTGGGCACACTAAGTGTCCAATAAATGTTTGTTGAATGAATGAATGCATTCATGAATGAATGCAACACTGTC